GTTTATTTGGGTTAAGCTACATATTCTGAGTAAGAATATTGCAAGTGCAGAAAGTTCTTACGATTTGGTTGGTTTGTTTTTATTTTTTTATTTTTTTCCAGAAGGCGCTTTTTTATACTTCAGTGTTGTCATTATGGATAATTTTACTTGGAAACCTGTATAGAAGAATTTTATTTTCTTTGACAATGGCAGAAAAATAGATTGCTATCAGTATTAAAAATAAAAGGTGTTTTTCAATGAAATGTTAAATTCTTAACTTAGGGATTTTTTTTTTTTTCTTTTTTAATGTGGATGAAGTAACAATTTTTTTAATGTGGATAAAGTAATAAAGTCCCATTTGTTTACCTGAGTAAAACACTATAAAAGTCTCTGTTGAAGATTTATCACTTTTTGTTTTACCTTTATGCTGGTGAAAAAACCCACCACCAAAGCCCCTAAAAAAACCCTGCTTTTGTTTGTAAATTCTATGAGATTCTCTGATTAACATTAATGATGAAAAATATTTTGATTTCCTAAGATGTTATTGTGAATTTCAAAATGCTGTAAAAAGGTAACTTCTAAAGACTTTGTTTTTCTTTACCATTTTCAGGACACACAATGGTCTGTTTATTGAAATGATTCCTCCAAAGTCTTACGGTATAAACACCTGTCAACATACTTGCTCACTGATCTTTCTTAAGAAATATGTATGTATCTGTATGGAACTGCATTGACCACAGATGTATTTCAGACCTCACTGCTTATTCATGCTCCATGGTGATAGGTGATAAGGAGTAATTCAGTGAGTGAGCAGAATTCATGAGTATTGAACCACAGAGACAGTTCTGGTTGTTTAGGTTTTTGTTTTGTCTACTTTTTATACTCTTTATTAATACTAAGGAAAAAAAAAAAAGAAAGCACATGTGCTTACTCAGTCTAGCAGAAAACACCATAGTATGTATTTAACATCTGTCCCATTATAACCTTTGAAAGGAAAAAAAAAAAGAATATTCCAGTTAGCAGGTGTCCATGATTATTTCAGGCAGACTTGACATAACTAATTTGTAGAGGTTATATCTGTATTTTGACTTGTCACCAGTGGCAGTTCCAATGCTTTTTTCCTGGTGGAGATTTCTACTGAGGACTACTGGGCAGGTGCAGTGTACTTTGTTTCCCACATGTGCTGTCTCTTTCTGTTGTGTTACTGTGCCAGACGTGCTGCTAACATATGCTCTCCATACTTTGTGCAGGAGGGAAATAAGCCTCAGAAAGATTTTACCAAGGATTATAAAGCTATAGTGGGTGCAGACACCAAGGTTAGTGCTGCCCCTGTTTGACAGTGTGAATTTGCTGTTCAAACTTAAGCAAGAAGACTGACGTTATGAATCAGTATGAATGCAGGCTTCTGCTTTGTTGAATATTCTAGTATGTTAGCGCTCTTTATAAGAGCAGGAAAATATAAGGAGCATGGCTTCAGGTTTTGCTTCAGGCTAACGCAGTGTGTTCAGATTTTGTCTCAGCTTCTTCATTGCTCTTTGCTGTAGTCAATTTCCATGTCTCTACCTCATGTTTGTTCCTAGCTGTCCTTCAGCATGACTGAACTGTTACTGTATTTTTTGTGTCATCACAATATGTCCTTGATTTATTTACCCAGATCTCTATTAACTGAGTTATACCACAGAACCGTGTAATACAGCTACACTAGTATTTTTTAAATACTTGTGAAAATTCATCATACTAGCTAGCATTTGTCCCTGCCCATGGCAGAGGGATGTAACTAGATTTGTAAGGTCCATTCCAACGCAAACCGTTCTATGATTCTGTGATGTTCTGGGAACCCTCTCTAGACATAAGCAACATCTTCAAAGCATTTTAGTTTATTTATTTATTTGATTATTTATTACTGAAATTTTCTTGGTCTGTATTTACACTCTTGTTTTCTTTCACATATTTGTGTGTTCAAGAAAGTCAGTATATTGTAATCACGTATTGCACCATCTTTGCAGAAGAGGTAATAGAATTGTACACTAATCAACCTGCAAAATAGGACAAGGGAACAGGCCTTAAACTCTTCACAAAGAAGCCACAGTATAATACACACTCTGAGCACTGCAGTAGAAAACATCTCATTATAGGTTTTACATTATTTTATAAGTAATTTAAAAGACATTATTGTAATAATTTTCAGACAATTTTGAAAAAGTAGAAATAGTTAATGTGTATTTTTATGATGATTTGGGGCAAACATTCTTGTCTACAATTGTTGAATGTTTTATTTGGTTTTGTGGATTTTGCTTAACCTAGTAGATCCCTCTCAAAATACTACTCTAGCATATATTTGATGATGAGAATAGATGATGTGGCTAGGCAGAATATTCTGTCATTCACTGTATTCAGAGACCAAATTTTTTCCAGCAGTATTGGAAAATAATTAGATAAACGAGAAACAATAGAGAGAAGATGCTGTAAAAGCTATTTAATTTTAAGGTTCTTTGTGCTTTTTTAAATTACTTTTGTTTTTTAACATCAGTTAACCCTCATATCTGAGTTGGAATACATGGAATTAATTATAATTAAATATACAGTGAATTATATAGTGAATGATAGTATTTGGGATTAGTATTGAACCTATACCATCTTCCTTTGTTATGAAGTACAAAATAGCACTGCAAAATTTATACTTCTCTAAAAATAACTTTAGGGAATTCAGTAAGGATTATAAATAATTTAACTCTTTTTACAGGAATCCTGTTGACCATACTGCACAGAAGGTTCCACTGGTACATATTTGTTTTTCAGAGAGTGAAGCATTGCCATTGAATTTTTTCTTTTTTCTTTCTTTGTCTCTTCTTCATATACGCTTCTAGTAACCTATTATTGGAAACAAAATTGGGCTAGTTGAACAATCTCCAATATAATTTGGAAAATCATGGTAAACAAACTCGAGTGAATGTATTGTTACAATTCAGTATAATATCACAGAAAGAAATTTTGCATTGTGCAAAGAGAAGGTACTAAGAATGAATTTGGGTTCTTATTGTAGGTCAAACTAAGTCATTGTAAGGTCAAAGACAATGCCTGTTCTCTATTACTACTCTGTTGTATAGAGCTACATTAGTGCTAGAGGAGCAACTGTTAATGAATCACTAATACAGTATCCTGTAGTTTATCTGTGATTCATACTTACATGTTGTTTCAGCATATGTCTTCCCAAGTTTTAAATGTGACTTCTTAGGGAAATATTTGTAATCAAGGTAAAATCAGAAATAAAATCACTGAAGTATACAGTTTAGGTAGGAATGTACATTTTAAATAGGAATAGTATAGATTCACTGTTGTATTACATGCTTGATATTTTAAAAAAGAAGCAAATAATCCATAGGTAAATTATACTGTTATTAACTGTGTCATACAAAGTGTTTGTTTTATATTTAAATAAAACAAGTACCCTGTGTATCAAAAACAATTTCTTTCATTTTAAAGAAATTGCATTTTCATTATCCCAAGAATTCCCTTCAGAATCCATGACATTCACTACTGTAGCATGTTTCCTAGGAACTTAATAAATTTTCTCTTTCCTTTTTATAAAGGTATAATGAAGACATAATTGTCAGCATTAGGAATTACATAAAAGATAACTAAGTGGTCTTAGTTACTAATTTTTACCAATCCAGAGGATTTTAGGTTTGCACTAGTGTTACAATTCCCTAACTAATTTATGTTAGTTAACCTATGCTAACTGTGTTAACATAGTAACTTATGTTCTGAGGCTTTCACAAGAAACAAAATTCAGTGTTCTTGGATTCTGATGGGGGAATCAGAATACTTTTCTTTCCGTGCAAATAATGATATATAGAATGCTTCATACGTTTGCTTTATGTCAAATATTTTAAGATCTAAATTGTGTGTGTTTCTCTTGTATTCAGTGAAGAAACAATTTTGCAGTTAAAGCTATCAATTAAATATCAGCTGCCACTTGATGGGTATTTAGTGTAAAAATCAGTAAACGAGTATATGTATTTATAGGACTGGACATTAAAGTATGTTTCAAGTTTAGATGTGATAAAATGAAATAGTTACTGGTTTTCCCTCCTTTTTCCAACTTCCTCAATAAAGAAAGTAGGTAAATATCAGTATTTTTTATCAGCTTTTTTTTTTACATAAAAAAAACAGTAAAGCAAATTTTCCCAAAGCTACAAAACAATTAAAGAGTAGAGCCCGATTAAGTAAGTTTTCTCAGGTAAAGTACTCCATGAAGGTTGAAGTGTCAAGCAGAGGATTTGTTTTTATTGTTTTATTTAATTTTCCCTAGTATTTGCATACTTTCGGAATTCAAATAGGTTTTGGGGAGGAGGTGGGGAAGTGTTAGGGATGAGGATATTTATGAAGTTGCTAAATATAAAATTTATGTTCGAGAAAATCAGAATCCAGCATTCATTGTTTTTTTTTGCCTCTTTCCATGCAATGTTATGGACAAGAAATCCAGAAATTCCAGCTGCATTTATGATAACGGTTTTTTTTTTTAACATTTGTTAAAAAAATGTGATCTTCTGACAAGAAAATGTGAATAGTGAAAATAAATCTATGATTGGATTTGTGTTTTGATCATTGTTTGAGGGGGTATCCTATTCAGTTTCGCAGTTACATTTTTAAGGACAAGAAAATTAATGCTAACTGTAATCTAAGATACTATGATTTTAACTGTATGCATTTTCATGACTAGAGTCTGCAGTTCACTATACCAGTCATAAATGGATACTTCTTGTGGTTTATCTTGACAGTGTTCCTTTAAGTATGTACTTACTCCCTTGATTATCATGCCTAGAAACAGAACATATTTTTCTGTTATTTTTTTTTTAATTTGGATAATTTAGAAGTTGCTTAGCTGTCTGTAATAACTTCACCATAGGTGAAGAGATGCCTTCAGTCATAGTTGTCAATGGTGTTTAAAATGTAAAGCATACATAAATATACATATATATATATATAAACCTTTCTTTTTCCTGAATCAATGTAAACAGAGCCCAGATGGCCGTATAGAAGTCAAAGGGCAGCGTGGAAAATCGTCACTGCATATTAAAGATGTGAAGTTGTCAGATTCCGGGAGATATGACTGTGAAGCTGCAAGTAGAATTGGTGGGCACCAGAAGAGCATGTACCTTGATATTGAATGTAAGTTCTAATATTTTTTTTCTCTTTAGATTTGTTTTAAAAAAATAAAAATATAAGTACATTCTTAATGGAAGGTCAGTTTTTTTCCTAGTTCTCTAAGTTACTAATCCCCATCAAGTCTCTAGCTCCTCTTATAACTCCTCCTGGATTTATAAAGCTTGTGACAATCTCTTCTAGAGATTGTCTTTGAATTTTATCCAGGAGAAAAGGATATTATATTTTGCTTAAAGGGTCTTTAGAAGGCAATCAGAGAATACAAATTTTAAATACATAAAAATTCATCAGAAAATTATCTCTTCAAACTGTTCTAATTCAGGAAGCGAAGCTCTTAGAAAAGGGAAAAAAAAAAAAAGATAAAAAATCCTTCTATTTCATTGTTCTGTTTTGCTAGAGATTTTCCTGAGAAATTTGTTCTTCATTTCCAATATGGCTTGAGTGGGCCTGTTTGAGATTCAGACTCTGGACAGAAAATGTCTTTCCAGTGGGAGGACAGATGTTGGAATAGGATCTGCTGCACAGAAAGATAAGCAGCAGTTGGAAACTGCTGAGTGATTTCCTAAGGAGTTCTTAAAGTTGCTTTAGTATATACAGTTGCATGTTCCATCTTTTTGACAGGTAATGCATTATGACACAGGAAATAAATCTGCAAGGAAAATGAGAAATGGACAAAGTTGTAATTGGATGTTAGGAATGGAGAGATTTCCCAACCCATGAGACCTAAAAAATAAATATACTATTAATAGCTTTACATAGCTACTCTTCAAAAAATAGACCTATGAAAGGATTTGAAACTTTGCAAAATATTATTACTCTTTTGAGAACATACTAATGTACTCTGCTCGTATCCTTAGGTTCACTGGTGCACTGATAACTATCTTTATATGTATATAAATTAAAGAAAATATTTTGCTAGATAAAAATGCAAGTTAGTGAAGTTTCTGTAAAATTTCTGTAAAATCCCATCCTATTCTACACCCTGATACGAAGTATTTTATAGATTGTATAATATATATAATACATGTAACATATAACATATTGTATATAAGGTTTTATGGTTGTTATGCCTTGAAATCAAATATTAATAATTTTTGTATTGAGGGGAGTATAGACCACATTTTATGAAACATGGGTGACTGGAGTTTAAGAATTTATTAACAGCACAGAATTCTTACTGGATAATAAAATCCTTGATACCTTATTATAGTCTTAAGACACATTTCAAAGTGAGTGTTTTAGAACAGTTGCTAAGAATTTAAAAGTGACATATTCTCATTATGTTATTACAGACCTAATCTTGAATATGTGTGGAGACAATCAGATATAGTGTTTGAGAAAATATAATAGCATATTGTTTAGACACACTTCTTAATGCAACATAAAACTTTCTAGAGTTCAGAAATCTTCTGAGAAGACAATTTTTAAAACATAGATATTATATCATCACTGTAATGACTATTTTTACTGTATAACAAAATAAATTGCATTAATTATTGTATTATAATGCAGCAGAAATATTTGGGGTGTGATGCAATATTCTGATTAGTGAGTCAGGTTTTTTTTTTCTTCCCTTGGAAATAATTTTGCACTGGTGTATGAACTGCAGGCATAGCCTTTTTGTCTTGCTTAGGAAAGAAAACACTTGTCTAATGATGAAAACTTCTGTTTTTTTTAAATAGCAGCCCCAAGAGGAAGTGTCTTCTTTGCAGCCTCATCTCTCATCAGCCTAGTGTCTGTCATAAACTTTTCTGCAAAGACTCTATTAGTACCTCATTATCACCATTTCCATACAATGCTGTGTTGTCATCAGTGCTAACAGTTCTTTTTCAGTTTTGAGAAGAATATTTTCTGGCATGGCTGCCTCTTTGTGTAATAACTAGTGAGCAGTTTTAGCAGAATTTTTATTATTTTTCATAATATTCCAGTATAAGCCTCAATAACTGTTTTAAAATTAAAACAGAAATAAATAAGCGAGACATTACTTTTTGTATTGTTCCATATCTCCTAGATAGGACTAATCAATGCACCTATGCCATTCTGTAAGTTAATAAAAAATCTACAACAGTTCTCTTTTTATACTTCAAAATATTTGAAAGTTTGTGTAGTCAGGAGAGGAGCACACTCCCATCACATCCTTAAATGTCAGTGCAGTTAAACAATCCTAATGGAGGCACAGAGTGCTCTGGTGTCACTGTCTCATTCTTTTACTTAGTGACCCTTATCAGACATAAACCAACAGTAGGATTGCAGAGACTTTCTGTACCTTATCCTTGTTCTCTGTTAGGGTTGCTCTTGATGATAAGAGGAGTTCTTTCAGAGAGGAAGAGATTATCAGGTTTGATACCAAATAGGCACAGTTAACCCTACCTTTTATCTGAAGTAAATGCTAGGCAGACAGGAATTATAGGGAACCCAGAGGCATTTGTAAGGCTTTCTTCCTACAAAGTCATCTTCACGGACAGTTATGTTTAGTTTTCCTAATATTAAGTATATTAAAAAAAACCATGAAAAAAAATGTATCATTAAAAGTATTTATTCATGGATTTCATTAACTGTGAAATTTGATTATACATATGAAGTGTAGTGTCTGTTGGATAATAATAGTTACTATTCCTACTCATAATAACTAACTGATATAGAAGTTACTGTGTGATGGCATATGTGACATATACTAGGTATTGGCAATAAAGATGTGTCTTTAGTGATAAAAACCATAATAAAAATATATAGTAGATGAAGCAGGACATACTTTAAGATGAGGTTTTCCGAAGAACACAAAGAAGCTAAATGTACAAATCCAGGTGAATTATAACTTGATTTGTACATGTAACAGTATCAGTCTATTTTCAAAGTTGGAGATTTCCTATGCATATATTTTCATTTCTATATGGCATTTTTGTATTTTTAGCTATGTAATTATTTTGAAAAATATATGTTAGGATTATAAAGGAATCTTAGAACACATAATACAGACCTGACTAAAAGAAGAAAAATTCTTATGAGAGAACACATTATTTATTGGGTTACACAAATTATTCACTGCTTTGATTAGTATTAGGGAATGAAAAGAATATTATTTTTACATCATTCTTCATAGTATTATGCCGTTAGGATGCACTGATGGTATTAATAAATTGGAAAGGATTTAAACAAGCCAGTAACGGCAAGCAGTCTTTGATCCTTGAAAGTGGTTCTCTACTTGCCCTGACAGTTATATCTTCATTTTGTTCAAAGTATTTGCAGCACTTATTTTGTACTCCTAGGTGCACATTATTGTGCAAGATGCTGATCTCTCTGATTGCTCTCTATCACCAAGTACAAATTCCTTTAGAGAATGCTTCTGTTACTGGAGAAAACATATTAAGCCATATTCTTTGGAAGTCTGCTTTTCTGTATACTGCCTGGGAAACATCCTAACTTGCAGTCTTAGATAACTGTAATTACCAGTTTTCGTATCACTCTGTTTCAGTTAAAACTCCCCAGTTTCATTATTGATAACGCACAATGGTCCAAAAAATGCCTACTTCCACACTGTACACAAAGACTAGTGTTTTGGAATATGATCAACTATGATAAATGTGTTACATTCAGTAATATGGTGCATTTTTTCCTACCACAGAGAATATTTCTTAGAAAGCAATTTCTAAAAAAACACATTTTAATAATTTTAAAATGTCTTAACAAAAATGAGTTTTTCTTACCTCTGGTTTTCATGCAAACCTGAATTTTTAAGTTATGTTTCTTACTAGTTAAGTGCCAACATTCAGCTGGTACTTTTGATGGAACCAAAAAAAAATTGTATATAGCCTGTGCAACATTGTCTTTACCTGTAAAGAAACCTGTGCAGTGTTCATTATGCTACTGCATTGCTCATCAGAGAAAGATTTTTTTTTTCCCACCACAATTTGAAATGAACCTCATTGCTGTTAAAATATTGAACTTTTTTCCTGAGTTAATTAATCTTCTGGCTTTTCATTTTGTTTTATGTTAGTTAACTGTATTGCAATTGCACTGCAGTTAAGGCAGATGCCTTGGATTCATGCTGTTTGATTTTACATCTTTACAAAAATATACAGCATGATTTAAAAGCAGGTTGAACAAGCAGAGCTACTAATTCCATTTAACTTGAAGGAAGCAAGGCTTTGAATCAGTGGAAATACTACTACCGTGCGCAGGATGTCACAAGCGTAACAAATGTCACAAATGTTGCAGCTACCTGCTGCTGTCATAAACTGTAATAAATGAAGACAGTTCATACTTTGGATTTGATTTCTGTTGAAAGAAATCAGTTTAGCAACATACCATCACTAGTCACAGAATCACAGGATGGTGAGATTGGAAGTGATTGCCTCTTGTCCTGTCACTGGACACAACTGAAAAGAGCCTGGCTCCATCTTTTCACCTACTCTTCAGCTATTAATCATGAGAGCCCAGCCCTAACTTTAACAGACAGGAAACAAAACTGATAAACACAATCATATGGCCTAAGAAAGAGACAAATGACAGGAAAAGCAATCAAGAGAAACAAAACGTTGAAATATTCTGGAAAATTATGCATGTTTTCTATTACAATACTAATGGGTTTAGTGAAATTTCTGTCAAATTTATAGGTTAAAATGAGATAGCAAACACAGAAAAGGTCAGTCTTCAGCATCATGAAATGCACGTGATAATTTTGACATGACTTTGGAGCTCATGAATGTCACTTGTAAGAGTTCCAATTTTCGTTTGGTTACTTGTGCATTTGCATAGAAGAAAATTTGGTATGCCATTGCTGTAAATTAAAGGGGATAAGAATGTTGAATTCTGATCAAAAGATGAGGTTTATTGCACAAAGTCACTTTGCAAAAAACATTTAATCAAAACTCACTGTACTGAGGCAGAGATGAATGCATATGCCTTTTTCTGATGTCACAACAGCAAATGTGGCAAAGTGGCTAAAATGATACTTTGTTCATCTGTATAATAAATCTACCTACTTTTTAGGGCAAGAGGGTGTAAAAATACTTTTAGAATAGAAATTCCACCATAAAAACTTTTGTCAAGTTCATGACTTGTTAAAATGCGATAGTCATGTTAGGAATTTCTCTAAATTTTTACCTAATAGAGCTCTATACGGCATGTTTTTGTTGACCTTACAATGAGCTTAATGTCATTTAAAGTAGATCTTTAATAGCATGTTGGCTATTTTTCTTTTAATAGAAGAATGCAATTTGGAATATATACAATATTTAGCTTTTATTCTGTTTTTCTTCTGATTATTTACTCATACTGTTAATAGGTGTGTATGCCTCAGCATCCTTTCTTACTGACATAATTTTGCACGTATGCAATTCTGAAAAATAAAGATACAAAAAAAGGCAAGAAAGAATTTTCTGATGTTTCCTTGAAGATGGTTCTAAGTTTTGAGTTGGTCTTACAGGCTAAAAATGTTAAATGTTTAAATTGGTAATTGATGTGTAAATTTTAAACTGATTTTTGTACTTCCAAAATTCAACAGAATTTTGCAAGTCATTGTTAAGTGTTATACAGTGATGACCTGTGAGTGAAAAAAATCAACATAGCCTTTGTCCTGTACCTCCAAGACAGATCCAGCAGAGCACAAGCAATACCCCTAAGAGTTATGAAGAAAATCATCAGGTGGTATGATAAGTGTGATTCTGAAATTTTGAAATTTGAACAAAATACCTTAAATTGAGATTTATAATCTCAACACTTTTTTTTTTCCTCAATTAACTTCCCTTAACTGCAGAATACTTGGCATTACTTAAAGTTTAGGTTGAAAGAGAGACCTCAGTATATTTAGAGTAAACCTGAGACATGTAGCTTTGGTTGTAGTTATCTGAGGCCAGGTCCCTCACACCACAGAGCCTGCCTCTGAGCTACAGTTATTGAACACATTGGAAGAAGCACAGGGCTAATGTAAAGAGGGAAATACCTGGTGAGTTTGAGTACACTGTACTGGAGATCTGAGGGATATAAGTTACAGGTATATTAGGGGTGCAGCATGCTGGAAATCGAGTTGGATATACAGGGTAATTTAAACAATTCCATTTGGTTTTTTAGTCTGTTCCTTAATGTTTCTTAGAGATTTTTTTTTGTTGTTGTTTTCTGGATAGCACTGTGTGTAAAAACCATAGATTCATAGAATGGTTAGGGTCGGAAAGGACCTTAACATTATCTGGTTCCAAACTCCCTGCCTGGAGAGTTTCTTCTACTTTATCTCCAAGAAAAAGCTATTCATCCCAAAACATAAAATATTAACTACTGCAAAACAGGTATGGAGGGAAAATATACAAGAGAAAGATGGATGGCTGTTAACTAAATTGTGTCAGACTTACAAAAAATTAAGGTACTTTTACAGCATTGATGGCAAGGAAAGTACTAAATTTGGTAGATGATGTGGTTTATTAAAGTCCTTGATGATAGGAAGCTTATGCCGGTATTAACTATCTAAGAGAGAGCCTTCCAATAATATGCTAAACGAAAAGTCCCAGCATCTTAGACCTGGCAGTCTAAGACCTATGTTTTCATTGTGTGAACCAGGAAAACAAAATTATTTGAGGAAGAAATAGCCAAAAGTTTGAAAACCTGCATCCTTAAATTAAGAAGTGCAAATCTGATTCTGTACACTAGGGTTTTTTTCATAGTTGTCTGGACACATGTGCTGAATCAGGTAATTTGCCATATTCACTTTTGTGTATAATGTCAAACATACCGCAGAGGCAGATCGTTGAAGTTGTTAATTGAATTAACTTCTGGATGAGACTGATGATGTATTAGCCAGTTTTAGAATCACTGTTCTCAGATATTATACCTAACAAGGATATCTAAATGCTAAAGACAGATTTCAGGCCAGAGTTTACTTCTCTTTCATAGTCTTCTTATGCAGGTTATCCAGAACTACTTCTAATTGGAGTTCTGACCTGTCAGTTTCTTTCTTGTTTGGGAAAACAAACAGCTTGAGTTTAGCTGGTACTGGTGCCATAATATTAACTACTCTAAAATGCCATAGTAAAGTTATAATTGCTTACAGAATCCTACTCTGATAGAATAGTTTTATTTTGTTTTGTACCTTTATGATGTTGTCTTTGTTCCTTCTAGGCATCTTTTTCATTTGGATTGCCTCATGTGTCCAAAAATAATAACCTTTCACAGTTTAAGTTTATAGCAGTACTTACAAGCTTTACCTTATTCTGGGCTGAATAAAAAGAAGCATGACCAGCAGGTCACAGGAGGTGATTCTCCCCCTTTACTCACCTTTTGTGAGATGCCAGCTGGAATACCATGTCCAGCTCTGCAGTCCCCAGCACAAGAAAGACATGGACCTGTTAGAGCAGGTCCAGAGGAGGGCCACAGAGATGATCAGAGGCCTCGAATATCTCTCCCATGAAGAAAGACTCAGAGGTTTTGGGTTGTTCAGCCTGGAGAAGGCTCCGGGGAGACCTTACAGGAGCCTTCCAATACCTGGAGGGGGCCTATAAAGAAAGCTGGGGAGGGGCTTTTTACAAGGGTGATAGGACCAGGGGTAGTGGCTTTAAACTGAAAGAGGGTAGTTTTATACTAGATATTAGAAAGAAATTATTTACTGTGAGGGTGCTGAGGCACTGAAACAGGTTGCCCAGAGAAGTTGTGGTTGCCCCATCCCTGGAAGCATTCAAGGCCAGGCTGGATGGGGCTTTGAGCAACCTAGTGAATTGGAAGGTGTCCCTGCCCACTGGATGATCTTTAAGGACCCTTCCAACCCAACCCACTCTATGATTCTATGATTTATTGTGTGCCTATAATAACTAATATGAACAGTAACTTTGGTACTTTCCTGAAGGTTTTCAGGTTTTTTAGTAGAGTGCCATGAGGTTCAGATACAATAAATGTCATCAGATTGCATTTTTTAAAACACTGGATTGTATTCAATCTTCTAATTCTGTATATAACTATTTAAAAGTCCAGTATGTTGTCTTAACTGGTAGAACACCGTGTGCAAAAGCTTAAAAAGAACAGTTCATTTGCACCCTGGATTGATTTTTCTTTTTTTTTTTTTTTTGGTCAGGCATAAATTAACCCTGAGTTATCTAGAAGATAAGCAGAGCATATTTTTTATTTTTTAATGGTTTTAACCTTTTTTACTGATCTTGATGGGAGCTTTTTTTCTCTTTTCATACTGTAAATATATTCTGTTTAAGTATCCTTAACATGTATTAATATATTACAAGGTCCATCTTCTCATTTTTACTTGGTTATACTTCATTTTCAGTTGCTAGACTTTCTCAATAAATGTTCTGTTTATTAACTTAGTCGTTTCTTAGATATTCTAGAGAACTGGAGGAATCAGATTTGTAGACGTAGAAAATAGTCAGCCTTGTGTTTTCAAAGCCTTAGCTTTAAGGTTTGTTATTTTTTCATACCCATACATGTTGTGTGTTTCTGTAGTTATACTAACAGTAATTCCGTAACCACTTAAGCATAATATACTACAGCTAGTGATGAAAAGCATGCAAGAAAATGCAAAATTCTGCAGAAAAAAAAAATAAAAAGGTGTTTTAAACCGTTCCCAATGCTAAACTTTACTGCATAGTCAAACGTGCTCAGTTCTGGTCTCTGATACACCTACTAGTAATTTTCTACCCAAAAATATTTCAAGAAGATTAGAATAGAATTTTCAGACACACATATAAAAATATTTAGGAACTATTTATGAAAACAAAAATATAAATAGATGCATTTTAAATATTGAAAGAGATACCATGACACCAGCTGTAATTGATAATTCTGTTTTGGTATTGAAGTGCTAGAGAGTTTCCCTGACTTGCAGTAATGTAAGAAATATTTTCTTAATACTTCTTAAATACAATAAAAGTGGGATTAAAATTAAAAAAAAAAAAAAAATTGCAAATATTGAATAGACTAAAAATGTGGTTTACCCAGGACACAAATAGAAGAACAGGGAAAGTTCTACTGCCTCTCATTTTCTAGAGACCGTTAAACTGCTCCTGCACCTTAGAGAAAGAGTGATTAAAAGAGATACTTCTTTTCCTGGTGGCATTGTGATCTGAAAGTCATAGTTAGTTTGCATGCCAGCAATTTCCTCTGTGTCATACTCAGTGTTTGCAGTTAATATTAACATAGCCATTTATAGGCAGGTTTTTAAGGAAGACGCACCATGTTTTTATTTGTCTGTAGCTTTCTGATTTCATAAGAAACTGGTGTAAAGATTATCCTAAGTACTGATACACATAGTACTTTTTTTCTGACATACATAGAATATATTGCAACATTTTAGGTATTCTGTTATTTATTTTCTTCTAGGTTTATTCACACAACTAAACATCTCTCTTCAGAAACATTTCATAAACTATAAGAGTTCCAGTGAGAAGGGGTTGAAGCTCTTACAAATCTGTGAAAATTTGGAGACTGAGTGTAATTTCTCCATAGCAAAAGAAGAAACTATAAAATCAGCAAATTAACAAATTATAAATTTCAGAGATCACCTCCCTTTGTGATACAGTATCTGGCTGAAGAGCTCCTCATCTTCAGGAATAAACATTCTTTGTAATTTCTGAGATAATGTCTTTCTAAATGCTAAATACCTGCTAAATATAATTAGCAGGTATTCTCTTCCTGAGAATTTCAGCTGAAGGGGTTTCAGGAGAGGAGAATGCTAACAAAATAAAGGCTCAAGAAACTCAAGATTGAATACAGATGTTTTCATGGTGCATAATAAACTGACAAAGCAATCAGTTGAAATTTTAATGTGAACATGCATGCTTGGATAAAGGTATATAGTTTGTTTTACTAAAACACTTAATGTATTCATGTATTACTTTTTCCAGATGCTCCAACATTTGTGTCAAATCAAACTATGTATTACTCTTGGGAAGGCAATCCCATCAATATAAGCTGTGAGGTGCTAGCAAATCCGTCTGCCTCAGTTCAGTGGAGAAGAGGAAAATCAGTTTTACCGGTAAAAAATACAACACATCTGAAGACCTACAGTACAGGAAGAAAGCTGATTCTAGAGGTAAGGCTTAAAAGGGAAATGTGAAATGTAACTGTAAAAGGGAAACGTGGTGACATGTATATACAAAGTCCTTTGTATCCTTATGTGACTTCAGCCAAGAACAAAGCAGAAGGGTAAAGTGGTAAGGAACTGCAATTGGCTGTAACAGCTGTTTCTTCATAGAGGCATTGGAAAAATAAACTAAGCTGCTGTTATCTTAAAGGTACCTGTAAGAACAAAACATGAGAAAGGTAGAAGACAGAGACTGCATCTTAATTATCAATTTACTTTATTGACTTGGCTAAATTTGGAATGAAATTAGTGTATAGCAAACCATGGTCCTTAATTAATTCACAACAGAGTGTAACTGGTGTCTCCAGCCCCAGTCTCACCTGTTACAGGGATGACATACTGTCTTCCTACACAGACGTGGAAGACGTTAGTTTTCTTCATTTCTGTCTAGTTTCAGGCTTATGTCCGAGCGTAAGCTTCTCAGTTGCCATGGGAAAAAAAGGCTGAGAAGCTATAAAGCTAAGCTGACTGGGGGACCTACTTCAGATCCCAAGCAAGAGGTTTACAGTGCACTGAAAAAAGAAAACCCAACTTTTTTTTCCTAAAGTCCAAGCAAGTAACCTTGATTCTCTAGTAGAGGATATATATTCTAAGAAATATAGTCTTACTCTTGTTTGAAGGTCATCTTTAGGGTTTTGTTTAACCCTATGTTGTTAAGTAAAGCTTAACAACATAAAATATGCCTCACAGTCTGTGGCTCTCCCATTCTACTGTCACCTGAAGAGTTGGTCAGGTAAGCTAGATTCCAGTGAGGCATTACTTCCCTATGATATCCATGATTTATTCTGTTGTAAATCCTTAACTCAACTGAATTTACAGTTGAGCCACATCCTGTTACATCTACTTTCTCCACACACACCACCTCCCCCCCTCCAATATCTGGTGTATTGTGAATCCTGCAAACAATAAAAAGTAAATTATTATTCTTGCAGCAGCTATAGGAATCGACAATTTTCAGACCTTTAGTTGCTTATTTAGTAAAAATATCAGTTTGTGCAAATAGCACGTGTAAAAAAAATATGAAGTTTATTAGATTTTTTTTGTTTAAAATTATAAAGTTGAGCTATGTCCCCATTTTTCATTCTGATTTTTTTTTTAACTTTGATATTTAATTAGAAACCAATATTTACAAACCATATTCATTTTAAAGATTGCTCCCACATCTGACAGTGATTTTGGACGGTATAATTGTACAGCCACAAACAGAATAGGAACAAGATATCAAGAGTATACACTTGGTCAAGCTGGTAAGTTTAAAGTTGTTCCCTTTTCTTTAAGTATTTTTTTATATTTTAATTAAAATATAAAGTTCAGAGCCACTTTTCTCTGTTTATTTTATTTCAATGGAATGTTGGCAGTTAATTTTAATTCTCTGAAAGTTGAGTTGCAGTATAAAGTAAAATAAACCATTTCCCTCTGAATATGAGTCTTCTTTGGTTTTAATTGTAAGGCCTTCTGATATGGGAAAAAATAAATTAGTAACTTTTTTCCTTTGCCCTTACTACATCCTACATTTATAACTGTATTTTCATTACTTCACTGGAGAGATATGGTTTGCAGGCAGTAAAAATAAGAAAGAATTTGGAAAGTCTTTTTTTCCTTTTTCTCCTTGATATTTTCTTGATAAACTAAGGATGTCAAAAGACTCAAGTTCTTCTGTCTTCATTTGCACTCTTAGTTATTTAAAAGCACAGTTTGACCCAGAATGCTAGGTTTAAATTTAAGTTCTGACATATTCTACAACCGACTGTTACAGAATTTCTGAATATTTTTAGGTCCATCTGTAGTTGTTTAGGGAAATATAAAAATATGATTGTATGTTTGTTCTTTGACAGAAATAATTGTTCACTGAGAGCAAACAAGAGTTTCTTAGTATTCTTTTCAGGTATATTTTCTTGTGGAATGGACTAATGCTTGTTGAGCAAGCTTTGAGGTCTCCCAACATTTGTATCTACATAGACGAGGCAAATTGTTCCAGTTTTAATGACATCTATGGAGTAATGATGCAGTTTGTAGTACCAAAGGTACAGCCATACTGAAAGGTATACACCCCTTGTGATGTGTTGTTACAGACTTATTTTCATCATGTAACTTTCAGGTCATACCATACTGCCAGATTGGCTGATACTTATTGATGGGGACAGATAGAAACGAAGTCTTGTACATTAAAATAAAAAAAAAAAAAAGGAACTTGTATATTTTTTATGATCTTCAGGGTTTCCGCTGTAACTTTTGATTTTTTTTTTTTAAATAATAAAATAATCTCTTTTGAGCCCTGCTAGGAGGACTTCTGGGGGTACTTTGCTGAAATGTACACATCCAGTCATACGGAGGCTTTCTTACTCAGCCTGGTGTTTTAATTTTTACAGTTTTCCTCAATAGGTTGATTATTTTCTTTTGCTTTGTCAGGAGTTACAAAGAATAGTTGTTTATTAAGAAATTTTTTAGTTGTGCACAGCATGTAAAATTTTTCTCATTGCCTCTAAAGAATGGATTACTAGCACACACTTTTACCATGTATATTATACTACTTTTTTGTCTTTGAATAGTGATCAAAAGTGCTGAGCTTCCTATCATAGGAAAATGTGGAGTTTTATTGACAAAACAGATTTCTATGTGCTACGATTTTACATTATCCAGAAGACCCATTCCCCTTAATTTTAGAACTTTTGGAGGATATTATCTGTATTGTTGATCTTTTGATAGCTACATGTGACTAATGAGAAATATATTAGGTTTTCCTCTTGCATGTAACCATCCCTAGCCCCAGCTAAGTCCTAATTTCATATAATGCAGTCTTTACTTTCTATTTTACAAATCTCTCACCAATATAAGGAACCACACAGTTTTAGTTATACCTAGAATAATTTTATTTCTTGAAAAGAAATTCCAAAAGTGAACAGTTTATAGAATCTTCAGTCATGTTCATGATTGTTTAACTGGTTGATCCCATTTATTTCAGTGGAATTACTTGAACAATTGAGTTTCCATAACGGACTAAAATTACGACTCATCACTACTAATGAGTAGCTCATCGGTACTACATGTGACATTAAATATGAAAAATGAATACTCTCTGTGATGTTCAAAATTGACGTAGTAATTGAAATGCTCTAAATTTTAAGGAAAAAGAACTAATTTCTATTCCATTATTAATTTCTATTCTGTCTGTAATTAAGAAATCTCAAGACGTGCAGGAAGTCAGCATTGATTTGAACAGGTAAACTACATCTATTATGTATATATTACTTCTGTCATCATTGAATTTAGGAAGTAGATTTAGCTCTCTAAAAAATCTCAGGGCATGATTATATAAATATTTGTGGCTGGCATACAATTTGCAGAATTATATTAAATTCATCAAACATTAGGACTGTACATAACCCTCTGCTTTTAGTCAGTTACATCTATTTCTCTTCAGTAGCATTCTGTCTCTTTAGGACAACACGTGCATCTGTAAATTCAACAGCAGCCCTGGTTCTGCCTGTCCTGCTGGGCTAGGTGCTACACTTGTCTCTGGAGTATCATCTCTAGGATTTGTTATGTGTGAAGCTTCACTGGAAGGGAAAAGCAGTATAAGTACAGTGTGAAATCTGCCATAATAATTTCTCAATTTCTTAGTCTGGAAGACAGAAGACTTGCCACTACAATTCAGTGTTAAAATCAGGATAGGAATGGGAAGGAAAAACTCCACTTGCACCTCTCTGGTGTCTTCCTTCTCAGGGCAGGAACAGTAATGCCAATGAAAACAGAGAAACTCAGGTTATGGGTTTTGCTGTGCACTGTCTTTTCATAAAACTGTATGTATTTACAAGAGCATCTCAGCACATACTGTATCTGATGATATTTCTCTTAGAGTTGCAAAACAATGTCCGAGAACATTGCAGCCCAGGGTACTCCATGATGACTATTCTAATAATTAATTTTAATAAAAAGTATTTTTCATTATTAATTAGAAAAGAGCACAATATTTTGGTTATGTATTGTACTTCAGCATATTCTCACATGAGAGCCCTGGAAATTCAAGAAAGAGCAAATAACTCCATGCAAGCCGTACTTTTTTTTTTTTTCTTTTTAATACAACTATAACAGAAATGTTATTGATGCAGTTTTCAAACAGCTTACTATTTTCTACTATTGCAACGGTGCAACATTTTTTTTGTTCTTCAGAAAGCTTGATGAATGCTTAAAAAAAAGTATTGGAATTATGAAAAGGTCAGTCAGGGTATATTTACTGAGTATGTGATGAATAAAGAATTACGGGAAGTTATTATGAAAAGCATGAGCTATATATAGACATTCTATATAATGATGTGAAATGAGTATGTATCCTTAACATTGTAGTGTAGAATTTGTGTGGGGCTAGGGGTGTCAGGTTCCATTATGCTAGGCACTACTTACAGGAGTGTAATGCATAATATTCAGCATTCTGAAAGGTTTACATTATTAGCATTTGCATCTAAATAGACTTTTTTAAAAATAAAAACCTACAAATAACGAATGTAGTTCACTGCTACAAGTTTTGCACTTAAGCTGGAATAAGCTGGAAATGAAAAGCAACCAGGGAGATGGAGGATAAAGCCACCACAATAATTACAGATATAAAATGTCAAATGCAGCTTTCTTTCCAGTTTTACTACCTTTGTTGCTTCACTTTGGTAGATTAGGAAGCCCTAATGAATTAAAACCCATAAAAATTTTTCGTACATTTCAATACAGACAGATCTCCTTCTGTCTTTGACTGTAAGTACTAATGCCAGGGCATAGCATGCTTTCACAATGGTTCTGTCAGGAAAAATAAATACTAGTTCTAGCTTGGAGACAGTATTAAGCAAAGTCCGCTGGTAGGATAAATTTTACAAATAATTATCATTTTACTGAATAGTTTCCTTAAAATTCTGCAGGAATGACGTGTTGTGTTTTGTTCCATTTTTCTGCTTTGCCAGTTTTCAGCAGAATCAAACTACCTCTTTTTTTTAATTTATTACTAGTTAAAATGTAATCGTACTGTCACAATGCCATTATTTTTATTTCTGTTGCCCTTCTTAAAATATTATACTTACCAACAATAGAAAAAGTTTTTTTTCAGAATTTAAACGTGATTTGCAACCATACCATGTTGTATGGAAAGAAAACTATAACTCTTCACTCAAATTATCCAGACCTACTGGATCAGCCTGAATTCCAAACACTTTAAACCTTTCAAAACAATTGAAGAATTGCAGCCTGTCTAAGGTTTCACACAGCCTTTACTGGTAAATGCTGAGAAACTTCTGTGATTTTTTAAAAGGTTAATCACCTTTTAATCACCTGACTTGTGATGATGAGCTCTTGAAAATACCATATGGTTGACATCCTCCTTTTTTCATTGCTTAAGCATTTAAATTGCTTTATAACTAACATGTAGAATGTGAAAAGAACCAGTCTTCTTCATTTCTTGCCACTGCAAATTTATTACTTCACATCACAATCACAACTTTTAGAAGCCTTCTTAGGCTCTGTTTTTTATCTGTGACAGGCTTAGGCTTTGGCAGGCCAGGTGAGCTTGGCTGATTATCCCAATGGCTTTCAGAGCCTAAGGTGAGCACAGATGTTCCTAGATTTGCCCAGCTGTAGCTTAGTCATAGTTTATGTGAAATATCAGTATGCAGAGAGATGGTATTAAGTAGCAAAACGTTTTTCCTTTCTGTTATTTTAAATGTCTTTTTAGAGATAAACTTGACTCTTCAAGTAAATATTTTTTTAAAATATTAATATTTATTTTGCACATAGCAGTGTACAGCTGGACCGAATCCAGAGATCCTTAAGTATAAATCCCAATTCACTTCTATGTCTCATAGCCTTACTCATCTTAGATTTTGCTTTCCCCTTCTTGTATTCTGGGATAGCAAAGGGGTTAAAAGTTCAGATAAATAGTCTGATTCATCTTTTTTACCTCAGTCTTTCTTCAGTCTTTGCACGTAGAATATACTTTCATTTTTAATGAAGGTTGAAATTCTGATCTTATAATATCATGCCTGGAACTGCACTCAGTACAGATTAAGTGTTAACAGGATCAACTGCTGGCAGAAACCGTATTAATAGGCAGTGAACATAGTTTAACAAATAGCTATGAGCCTAACCTGTAGAATTAATATTGAAATTTTTCTCAATTGTAAGGAAGTATAAGCATGTACTATTTCACAGAGATTTTGGACTCCAAAGGTCTAGTCTGTAGCCCCATCTCTTTCTCTGCCCTGCTCCGGATACTACTTACGTTCAGCATTTAGACATAGTTACTTTTATTCAATATCTATATGCCAGATATACAGAGACAGGAAAAGCTGCAAAACTGCGCTAGGAGCATATTGACATGACATAGGAAACAAAAGCTAATTGGAAGATGAATCTCTGACCCCACGACCTACTCTCACATTATCACTTCCTTTTCTCCATTTACACCAGGACTGCTAAACTCTCAGACGGAAAATTCTCTTCCATAAAACTATCAGGAAAAATAGCTTGAAAAGAAAATCCCCAGAATGGTGGTCATTTATTGAATGAGTTGGGTAATTGTAGTACTAGATTTGAAAGAGTACTTGCATATCAGCAGTAGGAAACATAAGGTTCTTCTTGAAGAATGTCTTCTTCCCTATGCCGTGTTTATTACAGTTAATCTCACGCAAATATAAAGATGCATGGAAAAGTGATCTCCTTAACATTATGAAAGTCAAGAACAAATTGTATATGTAAATAACACACTTCTGTTTCATAACATTAATCAAATAATTGTCCTGGTTGAAACTGAAGTAACAGTAATTGTCTTATAAAAAGAGCATACAGAAACTAACATAAAAATACCCTGAGTGTAACCAAATATTTATTCAGCCTTAAACAAAACCTTTTCTTTCGTATTGAAATCTTTTAACGGAAAAGGAATAGAAGTGTTTAGAAACTATTTCTAATATTATAGGTATCCACAGCAGCTTTCAGCTTGCAGTTAAATCCAAAGAGCATTTATCTTCAGTACTGCTGAACTATATTAATCTTCCCAAATGACTGGTATCCACTTCATTCATACAGTGATATACTTCTTCACTTCGTCTATCCTGGATTGCTTTTGCTGGCATTCTTATGTTCTGGTTTTCCCACCTCTGTCAAAACAGTAATTTGAGCTAGGGAGAGAAAGAATGGTGCTTAAGATACTGTGGCTATCAGGGAAAAAGAATAACATTTCTCTCAGCTATAATGAGAACCTGCAGGAAAGGAGTCACAGGCTGGTTCTAATCCTCATTCTCTTCTGATTTGGGGATCAATGCTTACGCAGCAAGCAACTCATAACTGTTTCTTCAACATTCTATATCCTGATGAAACGAATGTTTCCTGGAATAAGATAGGATTGGAGGGTTTGTACCCCTCAAGCAGAGATTTGCATTCTACTCAAAACTTAAATATCATGGATTGATATAGTTGGGTCTTTTAAGTAAATAATACCAAAATTATTCATCCATGTAAATAAATCTATGCTGGTTTTAACCCAATAAGCACCAAGCACTAGAAGTTTCAGGAGACCTGTGTTCAGAAATGCTGACTATAAGAGGTATGATATTAGCATTAATACACTCTGACAACTGGAAAAAATTAGGTGCCTGATATTAAAAGGTTATACAGATCAGCCCCTTAAGAGTAGCTTTGGAAGGTGCCCTTTTCCTGAGAATTTGTGGCTGAATATGTCCTGTAATCCATTCTTAAATATTTTATTAACATTTTTTGGCTCATTTTCATTCGTGTACAATACTGGGTGAAGCTCATGTTGATTCTCTGTTTATTCCCAACTCTCTGACAGCCCTTGAATAAAGACCACATTTCATGTAAATAGTTCAGTGCCCACTAACCAACTGATAGTCTTTGGCTCAAATTCTTACATGTCCTTATAAAAATATCTTCTATACCATGCAGACAAAAGTAATGCCAAACTGGTAAGTAGGTATGAAACAAAATTATCAGGTATATCAGAAAATAAATTTTTCATGGTGTTTCAGATCCCTGGTATTCTATCCGCAGAACTAAAATTCTTCCTAGTATTTTAAATTGTTTGTAGTTATTACACTTTAAAATGTAGCACAATTAGAAAAGTTAGTCTCTAGTCTTCTATGTGTTAGTTTGGTCTTACATTGTAAAAGTAACATGATGTTTCTCTTTTCAAAGATGTGCCGATCCCAAGGTTATTTCAGTGCTTTTGTTTCGTATTTAGCATCTCAACACCTACAGGCACCTGCTTTATTTTAATAGTTCTTTTCTATTTTGAAAGATAATGTACTTGCTTTTGATTTCAGAGAAAATGTTTCTTTCAACCTATTACATAGATTATTTCTTAAACAGAAAAGAAAATAGAAACCTTCCATTTATATTTCTAGCAGCTTGGAATCCAGTCTTCTGAAAAAAAAAAAAGGATTCATGTTTTCAGCTATATTTCAGAGTTTCATAAAAATTGCTAAATTATTTGTACATTTTTGTCTTAATCTTATTTAGAAGAATTCAGACTCTGAATGATCTTTTAAGCCATAACTGTTCCTCTTGCTAAATTGGATTTAAAGTTTGTTATTCTCTTTCACATAATTGTACAGTAAACAAATTAATCTCTTACATTGCCCTACGATGAAATTAGCTGTTAAAAAAGATTGTATTATAAAAGAAAGGCAGAAGTTGAAAGTGGTTTTGCATAATTTTATCATACAAGAAAATAGGTGTGGTTTTCTTACAGCTCTCTCTTAGAAAGCTTAAGCTGTTTATCTAATGTAAACATTATTACATCATATTGTAGATTTATTTTTTCACATTTTAAGATGCTAAGGAAACTTTTGGGGGTAAATTATCAACTGTTTAGGTCTGTCTAGTTGCTGCTGATTATTAAATAATGTTTGTAATTTTTTAGATGTGCCATCAAATCCTTATGGAGTACGAGTTTTAGAGTTGTCACAAACTACTGCCAAAGTTTTGTTCAATAAGCCAGATTCACATGGAGGTGTGCCCATTCATCATTACCAAGTGGATGTAAAAGAGGTAGCCTCAGATACCTGGAAAATAGTTCGCTCCCATGGAGTTCAAAGTAAGTGCACAAGAAATAAATGCAAGTACATGCTGAGGTGGGATGTTTACATAGAGCAATGTTAACATAATACATTCAACAGATCCTCGTTTCATTGCATCCATATTTACCCTTCAATTTTTTTAACAGGCACTGCAAGTTAAAGCAGCCCCAACCATCTTCTGATTTATACAGCAGGAAGTGAATGATAGTTTTGCAGCTATCAGCACAGTGATGGGAGAAAAAAATGTAGTATAGCATATGATCTAATGTGTGTTATTTCTTTGCCTTTTGCATCCCATAACCCACACACAAAAATGCTCTACTAAGCAGACCATGTTCCAAATCATGGAAGCATTTTAAAGAAACATTAATGAACATGTAGTTAACGTATATTCAAAGAAAGACTTTGTATCTTCTGTTTTTCTTAACCAAACACAGAAACTGTGTGTATAAATGTAATACTGTAAATCATAGTAGCATTAATTTTAGTCCAGTAAGCTAGTTTTTCTTTCAGTACTAGAAGATCTAAAGACAGTATGTTTCCTCCAGTTGCAGGGCATACACATTAATGAACATTAGTCTACCTCTTCCCTTTTTTTCATGTTACGTTTCAGATCAAGTTTGACACTTTTTTTCTCATAGCTGCTTCCTTCAGCAAATGGGCAATAACTTTCTCTGATGGGAACTACACTATACCAAATACAAAAACTGGAGTGACCAGTCTGAGTAATAGGGTGCAGTGTACTCAAATGAGGCCAAGCCCGGTAACTACAGAGTGCAATCGTATGGACGCATAATTTAAATGTAAAGCCAGGACAAAAAAAAAAAAACAAAAAAGTTCTATGTTAACTTTGTAGAAAAGTGTATTTGCGTTGCTTCCCATAAAGCTTTATTTTCTATTATTTCTATTAGTGTGAAGTTTATGAAAAGATTACTTGATTACATTAGGGAAAGATGTATAACTTGACAGACTCTTGTTATTAGAGTTGCCTGGAGCTTCCTGTGAAAGTTCACATTGATTTTGAAACATTCTTTCAGTGTTACATGGCCTTAAGTGGTAAACAGCTAATTTTGAAGGTTTCTGTATAACATGATTTGATCTTTTTGGAACTATTTTAGTACAATAACTGTTTGAATTGTAATTTATTCTAAAAAACAGAGTAGAATGGCAGGTACAGAAACCTGCAATCATCATGGAGACAATACCACTGTGAAGTAGATTGTGGGTATTTAGGATCTCTGCTGCTGTTCCTAATAAAATTGAATATACAGCTTCTTTGAGAAAAAGTCTCTAAATGCTGCCATGTTGTTTCCCTATGTCTTCGTTTTTCCAATTTGCCTTTTTGTAATTTATTCTCCTTTCTCACTTGGAAGTTTTCAGGGGGTTTGCCTTCTTTCAACCACATATTTTCCTCTTCATTTCATTGTCCCCCCAATTGTACTGAGAATTTTGCTGAGAAAACAAAATAGGTCACACTGGTTTTGAACATCTTAAAGGTACCTCTGAATAGAATGTATTACCAAAGACTACTCTGCGTGATGACAAAACCTAGTAAATATGAAAACAACCTGAAAAGTCATCTTGGTCTACATCCAGCTATACTTAGTAATAGTTAAATATTGGGAAGATAAACTTTGCTGAGAGGACATTGGACAGTATTAAAAATTAATGATACATCCATATTTAATTAATGATGTTTTCTAAAATTTCTATTCATATACCCCTGTTTAGAAAGACTGAGATTGTATATCTTTTGTTTCTCTTAATTTATCTCTGAACTGCTTTAGAAATCAAAAACTATTTCAGAATTTCAAATATTTGCTAAGAAGGAACCATCTTGATTTTGTAAATGTTGATGCTACACTGTGTAATTTGATAGAGAAATCAAAAGGGACACAGCCGCACTTATTGGAAGTTCTTGCAGATATTCTGTAATGAGTTAAAAGCATGTTCTATTTGTGAGGTACTTTAGGGCCAAATCAGAAAAATAAGATGTGCTACCAGAACACATACTGAACAGCGCAGAACAAAGTCTTTGCAGTTGAAGATGTCAAAAAACACTCCTAGTGACCATTATTAAAACAAAAATACTGCTAAGTGTAGCTGGAATCTTTCTGAAAAAAAAAAACAATCTTTGCTTGTTTCCAGCAAGTTTTCTGAAACATCTGATTAATCTCTCCATTTATGTTTTAGCCTACTTAGAGTGTCAGGGTGGGATAACATTGAGATATCCTCTTCTAACTACCTACTTTCAGTTTGTAAAGAAAAATTTAGAGGCTTTTCTTAGTGGAAGGCTCTTCATTTTTCTTTAGGCTTTTTGAGACATTTAGGATACTTTTAAGTCTTTTGAATGATAATAGAAATTGCATGTTTTTCAGACAGTTTCTCATCTTACTTTGGTAACTAAGAACCACTTCCCCTATGTGCCTCAACATCTTCTCAGCTGAGTGAGGAGGATGTTAGGCTACACACAGTCAGTATTCTGTATTATGATTTGTAGTTGGGTCATCATAATTTCCACACTTGGTCAATATTCCTTAATGGAAACAAAATCACTTTTTTTCATCTGTTCACATTTTAGGGGCAAGTTTATGGCTAAGATTCAAATGTAAATGCTGTTTACACAGGGACAGTTAATTGCTTGCACATCTCAAGTAATGATGCATACATAATGCATGAGTCATAATTTTTTCCCCAGCAGCCAATGATAAACTATGCTGAAATTTCACAGGATGTCCTTTTATCAGACTGATTTAACTTGAAAGTGCTAAAACAGAACTGCAGCCCTTTCTTGCCATTCTTCAGTGTAGGTAATATGCAAGTTCTGAAACCATCTTTTGAAGGAAAGAGAGAGAAAAACTTACATGCAGGAGAAACTTATGCCTAGAAGACTGTTAGCCTTCCAGTACAGGGTCTGTGAAAGCTAAACCGCATCTTCCAATCCCTCTCTACTATGAGCAGAAGGAATAGTGTAATTGTCTTCATAAAATTTATGAAAACTGTATTCCTCAATGAAACAAATGTGGAAATGTCTGTACGGAAGTTAGTTTGTAACTAAAGTGATAATAAAAGATTAATAGATGTTTCAAAAAGTTTTTTTAAAAGAAATTTCTTCTGAGGCTACTAAGTCATTAATTTTCTTGTTATTATGACCCTATAATTATGTCTAATAACTATAAGTAGAATCATAATTTTCTGGGTTTTTCTATGCAAAATATACAATAGATGCTTACAAAAATTGTTACGCATACTTATGTAAGCAATAGTCCAGTAAATATAGATAAGTTTAATCAGAACAAATAAGCTGTATGAAGTAGATTCAGTGCAAATCTATTCAATCAGCCTGCAGTTCACTTCATCTAGGAAGAATGCTGATTTCTTCAAAGAATCCCTCAAAACAGTGGTTTTTGACTCTAACTGTATTAGTTTGAACTGTTTTCAGGTCAAATTAAGGAGAAAATTCCAGTTTTGGAGCTCTAGCCAAGAATATCTGTTTCCTTATTCCCTCCCCATTATCTTTGATAATGAAGAAAATATTGTTTGAAAGTCTGCTGATTGCAGCTGTTGAAGGAGAAGGAGCTGTTGATTGTTGAAGGAGCAATCGATAAATCTGATACACCAACTTCAGCCTATAAAAGTCATAATCATTACTGTCATAGTTCACCAAGAGTTCAATGAGCTAAAGGTAGCCAGATTTTTTTCTCCACTTGTTAGGTACTCTTCTAAACATGAGAATTGTTTTGTTGAAGGATAGCTGCACTTTACAGTCACGGTGCAGCGGGGCTCCCTGTGGGCCAGTGTCCTGAGGGAAGGTGGGTGGGTAGGGACAGTCAGGGCTAACAGTGCTCTCAGGACCCAGATATTTATAACCCTGTCAGTAGTGTGAAGAAGACCATTGATCTTGAAGTAACAGAAGCGCAGATAATACAGGCAAGGTTCATTCCCTAAGGAGCATTTGCATCCTTTCAGCAAGACAGCTGGTAAATCCCTGAGTGTGAGATGTTGCCCATGCACCATGAAGAAGGGGGTAACAATCAGTGGAGCGCATTTGCCATGCTTTTCTCTATAGACACAAGGAAACCAGCATGAAGGCCTAAGATACCTGTGCTGGGAAAAATTGACTTACCACAATCTTCTGTGTGATTTTATTAAAAAAAAAAAAAAAAGGAGAGGTTTCCTGTTCCATTTATGAGTAATCAGCAAAGACTTCATAAGAAAAAGCCTGCATTATTAAAAGCCTGTGAGATTCACTGGTATAATTCTAATAGTGAAGCAATTGAGTTCTTGTTTTGTCTTAATAGAATTATAAACATTGGTAATTCTGGTTCAGAGGCAGCAAATAATGCATTCATACTGAAAAGGATAATAAAAAGGACTTAGTTTATACACAAACCTAAACCACTGTGAAGGTGTACTTGAAATCCCAAAAAAAAAAGTGCTCTGAAAACTTCTGTATGTCTTAAACAGGAATACAAAAAACTTTATTTCAAATCAGTCAACAAAAAATAAAACAAACACAACACTCCAGACAAATCAAAATGTATGGGCTTTTTTAGTGTCTTTAAGTTTTGGTTTTTTTCAGGAGATGTTCTGTTGAGTTTCAAGTCTTTTGACCAAATTATTCCTGGACTTAGTTCAACATTTGTAGGACATTAACATAAAATGTTTTTTACAATGGAAATATTTCCAAAAGCATGGGGTATTTCTAAAAAAAAACAACCAAACAAACAAACAAACAAAAAAACCCAGAAAATTAATGTAAGACATACTTTTCTGAATGTTTGCGTTTTGAAGCTTAATGGTCAAGTATGTTTTCTCTTTTGACATTTGAGATTTTACTTTGGGTGGCAGAAAGCAGAAGCTTTATGAAATTACATGCCAAATATATGATTAATTATTGAATGCATTACTTGTAAATGTATTTCATGCAGTAATATCAAGACACATCAGAGATGCTTTATCAACATATGCTTTTTTATTGAATGTTCTATGGAAGGAGACAATAATGTTCAGAGTC